TAGCAAGAGAATGTTTAACTGAAACCAACTGCAGGTGGCAGAATAGCCTTGGAAGCCATTTTTAATCACTAACCTTCTTTGTGGGTCAACTTAATGACAGCATGGTCTTGGTGGGCTTACAGATAAACCAGTGACAGGCACAGCATGTCAGGGCAGGGGAGAGACACGAGAGAGTTTCTGTCTTTTGTCTCTGTACCAGCTGTATCAGAGCGTGAAGAAGCCAAAGTGTCATCAATTGGTTGATTCTGCTGACTGTAAAAGACTCCCACAGTCAGCAATCTGTCATGTAAGCAACCACACATCACGCTCTTCACCTCTCACACTCACTCACACTGGGAAACTGTATGGACTAGCACTAAAGCCCACAGCAATCCAACTTGATTTATATTCAGACAAACGCAATGTGCTCACAAATGAAAACTATTGTCTATTTTATACATATATATATTATGAGTAGTGGGATTTTACATTAACTTACAACACTTTTGCTTATTTCAAATGAGAAATTTCTATGTTTCTCTCTTTCTCTCTCTCTGTGCTCTTCAGTGGTTTGAAGTAGGCAGGGGCTCAGTTGGCAAAAGATGATGTCACAAACCTCTGTGCACCAATCAGGATTCAGCAACATTTTGCAATAAAATGTGATGATAGTGGATAGCTTGTTTCAATGACAACAGTATGTCCAATCAAATGAATTAAACTCTTCATACATTATAAATAAATTTATGTATTTGAACATTTATATAGGGGTTTTAAAAATATGCAAATTAATATAATTTTATATTTATATATCATGTGTTTTTTGGGTTTTTACTCTTCATTATGTATCTAAGTTTGACTGTCCACTGTGATGCAAATCCCTGACCTACCTGGGCTCTACGATATTACATGTGACCGAGCGTAAAGAGGAGCTGCTTTATAAAGATTCTATGTAGGCGTCACAGCCATTTTATGATGTTGAAGTCACTCTGCTGCCTGTCAAACACTCTCTATGCAGGCATCTCAGATCAAACGGGCTTTTATTGGCGTGCATGCGTGCATTTGTCCATTCGTCCATCTGTGTACACTCATGTTTGTGTGAAAATGTGCATATTGTGTGTCATCAGAAGGCCAGTTCTTTAATGTGTTTGTCGTCTGTTAAACCCCTGCATTGCAGCACTGCCAGTGGGATTTCAGCAGGCACGGCCCTTTTATTTCTCTAACCCTCCATCCTCACAATGGAGAGATTAAATTTGGGCCAGATCCCTCCTGCGTGGAAAGCTCCTCGCTTACACATGCACATCTTCCAGTGTTCATACGCTACGCTCCAGAGAGCTCAGGGCAGCTGAGAGCCCCCAAAAGTCTCCTGCAGGCTCCCATTGCCCCACATGAACCCCCTCCCCAGTCTGAGTGGGACCAACAGTCATGGAGAGCCACGTGTCTTGGAGACAGACAGAGAGAACGAGAGACTGAGAGAGAGAAAATGAAAACAGGGGATCCTTGGGGGCTCAGCAATTCAAGTGCTGTCTTAGAGGCTGCACAGTAATCTTGTGAAAAAATGGAAAGGCTCTGTAGTTTTGGGCTGAGTGGCTTTTGCAGTTGTTTGGACCATATGGTCCTCTTCATCAAACAGAGATCAATTGGGGAATAAGAGGCAACATAAATCAGAGAGTGTTCTTTCACTTGGACAGCAGTGTGATTTTAGCAGTTTGGAATATTAGAAGAAAGCTTTATTTCAAGTCTCTTACTGTGGACTTATTTAATCAATGAGACAAGTGCACAGTAGTGGACAGAGTCAATAAAAATAACACAGACAGCACAAACAGCCAAAGCAGTGCTTCAGGAATAATGTCCACTTAAAAATTAAGGTTACAGTGCCCTAACAACCCAAGAACTCTCATCATTGTCTCATCTCATTGGTGCACAGAAATATATGACATCACCTTTTTTTTTCCAATTGAGCCCTGCCCACTTCAAACCAGTCAGAAGAGTAGTGAGAAAGAAATCCAGAAGATTGTGTTTTCATGTAGGATATAAACATTTTCAGGACCTTTAAAGATCATTTAAAGAGATTATTTAAGATACTGTATATCACAATTATACAATATGTTGAAACCTAGAATGATTTTGTTTAGAACGTGCAAAAATGTCTATAGTCTCAAATCAAAAAAATGTATCTTAGTGTATCTCCAAAGCCTGGTCTCAATAAACAAACAAGGTTCAGGGATATATGCTGATGAATTGGTGCAGTTTCATTTTCATGTTGCAGCATGATGAAACAGTTTAGGTCTGTTAGAGTCTAGCCTACTGCAATCATTATTTAAATCAATTTATCTAAAAGTCTGGAAATTCTTTCACATCTGGTGACACCTTCATCCTAACATCTAATGATCTGGCTTATCAATGTTCCCTTTGATATGACTCCACTGCCAGCATGGTTCACTGGTGTGAATTAGTAATAAAAACCAAAGGGCAGAGTCTTCATTAAATTCCCTTCCATTTTTCCTCTGCATGGTTTTGTCCCTTAGAGACATAAATAGGTGTGGGAAAGATCCAATTATGTTCACCAAGAGGCAATTCCCTTTAACGTGATTGTATCTGAGAATCTGCACATCAGTTGCCCCAGTCAGCTAGCCAATTTATGATCTTTTAAGATTTTTTTCCTCTTTTTGTTGAATGTGATTTGACCTTATATTTGTCCTCACATTTCCTCTGTGAGATTATGTTAGTACATAACAGGCAAAAACGTTTACATTAAGGTTTGAGATTCAAATCAGGTTTGACCAAGAGTTTTGTTTTTTGATTTTGAATTCAGTCCTTGTCATTTGACCTTTCTATTTGAAACAATGAAAATGTCAGTAGCATTCTTGGAGTGCTGCAGTGTGAAGCAGTGTTGAAGCACTGCTTTTCTCCTCCCTGTCACTGCTGCCCCTCAGCTAGCTGCAAACAACTCACTTTGACAGTTTCATAGTGTCTGGCCGCAGGTATTCCACTGTGCAAGAATCTAAAGAGCCCACAGTCTATACTCCTCTATGTACCATGAAATGATCGTTCAGCAAACTGATATTTGCCATTATCCGTCTTGTTGTCTAGAAATGCTTTAGTGTGCTACAATTAGAAGGTCCCCGGCACAAGGTATAGAAAACATTTTTCTATCAGTATTTCAGTATGTTTGATTTCATGATAAATTTTATGGCATCATCAGGTCCAAATGATGGATTGATCTCAAGGGGTGTTACTTACAAAAATAGCGAATTCACTGGGGAAATGAATGTTTAGAAAAGTAAAATCCATGTATAGTACAACAAGAAAAGCTGTTCTGCTGATGGCAGATTTAAGTTGTGTGAACTGTTTTCCTTCACTGAAGTGCACAAATTGAAGTTGGTTATCTCTCCCTGTGGATGTCTTTCATGATACAATTACAATAAAGCAATTAAGTCCAGTGAGTCATGAAATTGATTGTTTTGCCAAAATAGGAGAAGGAAATTGGGTCACAAATAGAATATCCTCAAAGTTCTGCAGAAGAAAATGGACAGAATTGGACTGATCATAAAAGTTCGTAATTCTCTCATCAGCACGTCGCATATTAAAGAGCACAGGGGATAATCCCTGGCTCGGTTATGCTGCTTAGAAAGTGACTAGATCTGGTTACTGTACCTTAAAGGAATAGCTTGACATTGGGGGAAAACGCTTTGTTTTCTTGTCACATGAGAAGATATTATGAAGCTACTGCTAGGAGAGGTTCAGCTTAGCTTAGCAAAACGTCTTTGAGCAGGTGGAAACAGTTAGCCTGGCTCGCTCCAAATGTAAAAAAAACCTCACAAGCTCACTAATTATATCTCCTCTTGCCCTGGCAACCTCACGGTGACAACAAGACTCCAGGAAGTCTCTGTATTCGGCCAAGAAGTAGTACACACACAGCTTATATTAAGACTGGTTTTTGTACGGGTTAAAGAACGAGATATAATGTGTTAATTAATGAGCTTTAGAGGTGGGGGTATAGGCATATTAGATGACCTTTGGACAGAGCCAGGCTAACTGTTCGCCCGTTTCCAGTCCTTATGCCAAGTTAAGCTAACCATCTCCTGGCTGTGGCATCATATTTAACGTACAAACATGACAATGTATCTGTCTTTTATCTAACTCTCAGCAAGACAGCAAATGAGCATATTTCAAATCTTTATTTATACCAAAAAGATTGGTAAATGTGATGCGTTGATTAGATTCGATTATTTTTCTAACACGGCCATTAGTGTGGTGAATTAGTCAACACCTGCCTGTTGTATGTATGTATTGTGTATGTCAATAAAACGCATCAATATGCCAAAATATTTATAAATGGCTGATGAATTCATCTTTAGTGGCTAACCCTGGAAGCACCACTGTGGAGATATCTTGGTAATAGGTTCAAAATGAGAGATCAAATCTATCATATACTATTTGGTGAACTTAGAGGTCTTTTAACTCAGGGTTGAACTTTGGTGGTTCAGAAAGCTGTTTTAGGTACTTCGCATTGATTCACTGCCAGATTTCAAAGAGACAGTCATTAGAGTGGTACTAGGGTAATGACAATGGATTCATTAAATAACTGGTGAGCCGTGTGTGTGTGCAATGCATGGCTGTCAGCAATAATTAATTTGTCCTGCATATTTGTGGATCAAAACGGCTGGCTTCAGGCATATATCAACTTGTTTACGTGAGAGGGAGACAGCCATCAATAATCTTCCCTTTGCTCAAAGTGATTTTTGCTTTAATAATGTTCTGTAGTGTGCTCACTGAAAGTTGCATTTGTTTTTTATCCTCATTTTATCATTTTCGCTCAGGAATGCTAATCCGGCCGGGTGTTCATACAGTGTGATTTGGTGTCATGGATTTTCTTCACACACCAGTTTGCATGATCAGAGAGGATGGAGCTTCAGCCAAAGTTTGAAATCATCAAATCTGCTGGATTTCTCTCACATATGTCTCTTTGACCCAAGGAGTAAACTCTGCCTCTCTGAGTTCACATTGTCTTTCTCTTTCAGGGTTTCTGACTGACAACATTCTCACTGTGATTGCCTCCAGCCACTTTTCGAGATTCAAGATTTGGCTGTAAGTATCCTACCAGCCAAGATATTCTGTGCATGAGCTGAAGCACTGAGCCAATACTGTGAACTTAAAGGTTGTGCGATAGAGAGAGACAGGAGGGAGGAGAAGACCACTCTGCTCCATCAAAGCAGTCCAGTGTCATTGCCGTGACCGTCCTCTTTAAGAGGAGACAGATCACTGCACATTGTTAGATGCCTCCATCCTCTGCAGCTCCCCTCACAGAAATATCATCCATTTCTCGTTATTTGAGAAATCCAGCTTGCCTCTGCTCCTTTACTGTCCACTGAAGGCATGGGCCAGATGGTGGACTGTCTACGGCTGGATGCTTTCTGAAACTGTCCAGTAATATAACACTCTGATGAGCTGTGGGGTGAAGCACCAATTGACCTGAAAGAAAATTCTGCTTGCTTCATTAATTGCTTGGTATATATAGGAATTCTTCCTGAAGAATGGAGTTATTTATACTTCATACCAAATTATTTCAGAAAAATATTTTTAAGCTGCACATGGAATCCAAAAATGAAATCGGGACAGTACTAGAGTATATGTAAATAGATTTGAGCCTCACGTAATCACATGTTTTGTACGTCAGCATGCAACATTGTGTGTTGGGTTTTCCCTACTCTCCTGTCTGTTCTTAGAAAAGCTTTGCATGTGCCAGAGAAGAAGAAGCCCACTGCAGTGTGTAGTGAGCAGGAAAGGCGTGGTGAGGATGAAGGTACAGCCCACTGTGAACAAGCATGATTTACTGTAGGACTGGCTCTTTGTGCGCCAGTCTCCATCATACCCTGCACACTCCAGCACTCAGCTGATTAATCAGAGTCATTTCCATGAGTGATGGAAGCTCCGGTGCCTCAGGGGCTACAGAAAGCTAATAAACCCCAGCGGACAAAAGCCACGCCTGGAAGGACGGTTACTGGCCACTGCTTTTATACCGGCTCCGTCACTACAGCCATCTGCCATTATTCAGCCCTCACTGCCCTTTGTCAGCCTTATCGTTATTAACATTGATCAGCTCATCATCTACTGAGTGAGATTTCATACCCTGGGGACTGGTGGTGGACAATTAGTTGTTTGAATATGCAGCACCATTAGAGGGTGTAACTTTTAATAATAGAGGTATCATTTTTCAAAGAAACTGGAGAAACCACATACATTCATTCTTATCTCTGGTAGACACCACAGGTAAATAAGACAAAAAAGAGCCCTTGTATCCTACCAGAATGAAACTTTACTTAAAGAATAAGAACTAATATTAAAAAATTTTAAATCAGCATTAACTTAGCAACATTAGCAATCATTTGCAGGATGTGTTTCTGGCCACCAAATGACAGCCTTACACAATGTTTTTATTATTGTGTTTTTATTTATTTGTGTTATTGTGTTCAGAATCAGAATCAGAATCAGAATCAGCTTTATTGCCAGGTATGTGTACACATACAAGGAATTTGACTCAGGATTGTACATTGCTCACGATGTGCTTACTCATACAAAAATACCATAACACAATAATAAAATAATAATAAAATAAAATCAGACACAAACTACAGTATAGACAACACTAACAACACACTATGAACAAAACAATATAGACATATTGACAAATAGTGCAGTGATCAGAGTGCAAAGGATGCAAGAGTAAACTATTATTCTCATTATGTGCTGTAAATGTATTATGTAGAAGGTGGATATGATATACAGGTACACATACACATACATGTACACATGTACACAGTGTGATGGAGCATAGTGCAAAGGATGCTGGAAAAAATAAATAAGACCTATGACCTTATGACCTGAGGTAGGTGTATTGGTATACAGTATATACAATATGACATAGTATGAACATAGTATGAACAGCACTGAAATAGAGAATGGTGAATAAATAAATAATAAGGGGAAACCAGTAAACAGGTGACTGATTAGAGGCAGAGTTACTAGGTTATTGCACAGGAATTGTTCCTGACACTGTGAGTCAGAAATCAGCTGTTCATCAGAGTGATGGCTTGTGCGAAGAAACTGCCCCTGTGCCTGTTGGTTTTGGCGTACAGTGCTCTGTAGTGCCTACCAGAGGGGAGGAGCTGGAACAGGTTGTGTCCAAGGTGAGACGGCATGATTCTTTCTGCAGTCCTGACTGTCCGTTGTAGTCTGTCCCTGTCCTTTTTGGTGGCAGATCCAAACCAGACAGTGATGGAGGTGCAGAGAACAGACTGGATGATGTCTGTGTAGAACTGGATCAGCAGGTCCTTAGGCAGGTTGAGCTTCCTGATCTGACGCAGGAAGTACATCCTCTGCTGGGCCTTCTTGATGATGGTGTCAGTGTTGGGCTCCCACTTCAGGTCCTGGGATATAGTGGAACCCAGAAACCTGAAGGATTCCACAGCAGACACAGGACTGTTGAGTATGGTGATGGGGGGCAGAGTGGGGGGGGGCTCCTCCTGAAGTCCACAGTCATCTCCACAGTTTTGAGCGTGTTAAGCTCCAGGTTGTTCTGACCGCACCAGAGAGCCAGCTGATCAACCTCCCGTCTGTAGGCCGACTCATCACCGTTGCGGATTAGGCTGATGACCGTGTCGTCAGCGAACTTCAGGAGTTTGACAGATGGGTCTCCTGAGGTGCAGTCGTTGCTGTAGAGGGAGAAGAGCAGTGGCAAGAGCACACACCCCTGGGGGGCGCCAGTGCTGATAGTCGGCACACACATGTCCTCACAAAAACTGATGTAAGATGTCACAGTGTCAGTTAGTTCGTCCAGGTCAGTGGCTGTAGCCTCAAAAACACTCCAGTCAGTGCAGTCAAAGCAGGCCTGTAACTACAGCTTTGACTCGTTGGTCCATCTTTTCACAGTCTTTACAACAGGTTTAGCAGATTTCAGTTTTTGCCTTCACCAGCTAGGCGTCAAATTTGACTGTCTCCTGTTTGGTGTAGACCAGGTTAGTGTACAGTGGGTTTTTAAAGCTTTTTTCATTTAAAACAGTTGCCTGCTGGGGCCAAACACGATGGAAGAGTAAACCAAAACAGTAAAGGTGCAAAACAATAAGCTGAAAATAAGCTCTGTAGAACTGAGGAGGTCTACAGGTGATAGTTCTCTCTGGATTCGTCGCTACAAGCAGCTATTTACACATATAAGTTTTCATGTGATCCATTGTCAACATAAAAATATTTATCACATTATCTTTGAATTTTGTGTTAATACAGAATATGACAAATGTACTTAAAATTGCACAAAATCAGTTGATGGATTAAGTTGAGTTGAGTTTGGATTCACAATTAAATAATCTGAACAATTATTGTCACATTTTAGAAGCTTGAACCTGCAAATGTTCAATTCATTATTTGTTGATTTATCCACTAATTGTTTCAGTTCTTCACATGAGGCTTATATGTCCACCGATCAGCCATAACTTTATGACCACTGACAGGGGAAGAGAATAACACTGATTGTCTTGTTACCATGGCACCTGTCAATGGGTTGGATATATTCGGCAACAAGTGAACATTTTGTCCTCAAAGTTGATGTGTTAGAAGCGAGACAAACAGGCAAGCGACTTTGAGCGACTTTGACAAACGCCGAATTGTGATGGCTAGACAACTGGGCCAAAGCATCTTCAAACTGTCTGCAGTGGTCAGTCCCTCACAAAAGTGGTCCAAGGAAAGAAAAGTGGTGAACCATCTACAGGGTCAAGGCTCAGTGATGCACGTGGGGAGGGAAGGCTGGGCCGTTTGGTCTGATCCAACTGAAGAGCTGCTGTAGGTCAACAATTTGACCTACAGCAGCTCTTCAGTAAAGTTAATGCTGGTTCTGATAGAAAGCTGTCAGAACACACAGTGCATCACAGTTTGTTGCGTATGGGGCTGTGTTGCCGTAGACCAGTCAGGGTCCCCATGTTGACCCCTGTCCCCTGCTGAAAGCAACAAAAAATGGGCCCATGAGCACACAAACTGGACCACAGAGCAGTGGAAGAAGGTGTCCTGGTCTGATGAATCAAGTTTTCTTTTACATCAAGTGCATGGAGGGTGCATCTGCATCACTTATCTGGGGAACACATGGCACCAGGATGCTTTATGGGAAAAGGGCAAGCTGGCGGATCAGTCAATGTTAGGCTCTCTTCTTGCAAAACCTTGGGTCCTGCTATTCATGTGGATGTTACTTTGACACATACCTACCTAAGCATTGCCACAAAGCAAAAATGGCTCAGGAATGGTTTGAGGCACACGTCAATGAGTTCAAGGTGTTGACATGACTTCCAAATTCTCCAGATGTCAGTCCAGTCAAGCATCTGTGGGATGTGCTGGACAAACAAGTCTGATCTATGAAGGCCCCAACTCACAACTTACAGGACCTAAAGGATCTGCTGCTAACATCTTGGTGACCGATAATACAGCACACCTTCAGAGGTCTAGTGGAGTCCATGCCTTGACAGATCAGGGCTGTTTTGGCAGCAAAAGGGGGACATACACAATATTAGGCAGGTGGTCATAATGTTAGGGCTGATCGGTGGTCTGAGAATATGAATCGATGTCAGTATTGATTTTTATAGTCTATGAAACTACAGTTGTTATTGAAACAGATATATATCAAAATTTGCCTTTTAATCCTGATTTGGTGTTTTCACCTGCAGTACCCCTTCAGCCTTCAGTTACAATAATACAAATTTTTAGCTGTTTCTGAACAGCAGTGTGGAGACACATTATGGAAACATGGCTCTAGGCTTCCCTCTCACTCTGCCAGTGCCAGATCTAAAATGGGCCAACACAATGAAACACAAAGTATTGCATTGTTGCACCTCCTCACATCTGCAGCACCACATCCCAGCACAGACACAGAACCAGATCTAATCCCTGACTGCCAGCCACAGCATTGTACATTTCCCACACATACATGAAGGCAGCATTCAATAAAAGATTTGGAGATCGGGGGAGAAACAACAGTGCTTCGCTGCCTCGTTTTTAGGGCCACTGCAGACATAAATTCTGAGACTTGATAGAAAGAAAGAAACACTGAA